TATAGGCCGTTAGCAAATATTTGTAATAACACGCTTTTCTTCAACTGTTTCCCTTTTAGGAAAACAGTTGGTTCAGTCAAAATATCCTCAGATACCCAAAGGGTGCGCCAGGAGTTTGAAATCAAATCCCCAAGTATAGAAGAAGGGACATGCTAATGCACGTGCTGCGGCTCTCGTGGCCAGTCAAGAGAAAATAAAAAAGAGTCGTATACAATCAGGATCCTAGCTAGTGAGAAGCTACAGGAACTAGACCAAGCTGTACACAGTGTCGCCGATGATCGTTATGCGCAAGCGCCTTCGTAAAGATATCAGCTATGTTGGCATCAGCCAAGTGTACTACGGGGCCTGGCGACGCTGCTGTAGCTCGCACAGTAGGAAGTACCACAGTTGGATGTGCTTCACTCTGCCCTCTAGTCGAGGTTCCTGACACAGGAGAATCATGGCCCTGTTGTCAGCGTACAAGACCGGGGCAGAGCTAGGCCGCTCACCTAAGTCAATGAGCAAAAAGGTCAGCCAGCGGAGCTCTTGTGCCGCGATGGCACCGGCGTAGATCTCGGCCTCATAGCTACATTGGGCAACCGACGACAAGCGAGTGGACCTCCATGAGATGGCACTTGCACCACGGTCAGCTAACGTAGCACAAAGCGTGTCGTGCCACTCTCGAGGCTGCCTGCCACAGGCCGTAAATCGGACGCCGGAGGAGCCACTGGGTCCCCGGAGCGAAGGTGCCGGTGAAGCCTGGCGGGCGATGCAGGTAGACCTGCTCCTGAAGACTGCCCTGAAGAAACGCTGTCGAGAAGACGGGAGAGTGTAGCACGTAGTACCGCTGTGCTGCTATGTGTAGCAGCGCCCGAAGAGCCAACGGCCATCGACTACGTTCACCCTTGGTGGGGGAAATGCATCGATGAGGTGCCGGTGGGCCTCCAATATGCCATCTCCGCGTCCATGGCAGCTATTCACTGAGAGGCCCAGTGTCCCGAAGTCGCCTCAGCGAAAGTGCGAGGGGTCGGGATGTCAAAGGCGTCTGGGTCACCCTGAGGGACTAGCAGCATGGAGCAGAGATGAGGCGTGACCTCGGAGTGGAAAGCAAGCTCGTACTGCCGGTCCTCCAGGACGTCACTGCAAAGGGCAGAAGCACCCCCGACGGACGGAGGATGGGCAGGGTCAGAGACCAGAGCGGTGGCGAAGTCAACGCGGCGAGTAGAGGCAAAGTCAGCTACAGCAGTGACAAGAGTGTCAAGACTGGAGACAGGAACGGAGGGGTCGGCAACAAGAGAGGCAAGAACGCGACGAACAAGTAGTAGCAGCACGGAGGAAGTCAAAGAAAGGGGGCGAAGTGACAACAAGCGACGATGGAGGAGGCGACGGTAGGCGTGGGGTCAGAAAAGCGAGGAGGAGACATACAAGGAGAATGCCGGGGAAAACGAGCCGGAGAGGAGTCCGGCGGAGGAAATGCAGGACTGTAGACAGGCGGGGGAGGCATATGTGGGCGGTCAAGGGAGGGAAGACCGAGGAGGCGAAGGGTAGATACTGGCAATGTATGCTGCTCCACGCCAACACTAGAACCTTTTACTGCACCACAGCTATCTCTGGGAGTCTCCACGACAGCACGCCCATAACAAGAACCCTCTCCAGCACCGGTGCCACCCCCAGGGTTGCCGGGAGAAGCCACGATAGGAGCCCAGCACCCCAAGAACCATCACCCGCTGAACGAGAAACCTCTCCATTACAGGTGCCACCCCCAGGACCACCGGGACAAGCCACGACACGAGCCCTAGGACTAGCACCCTCCTCAACGACCGCAACCCTAGAGCTCGCGGACCCCTGCGGCAGCAGTGACGGCAGCTGCGGTTGCGAGGACTGTTGCTGCGGCTGAGGCGGCGACGTTGGCTGCTGCGACGGCGGCGGAGGAAGGGACACTGGGGCGGAGACAGGCGGCAACACCAAAGCTGCGGGGCCCTCGGAGTCAGCCAACTCCTCGACTAGGACAACTGACGGGAGGGGAGAGACATGAGACACACCAGATGGGGCTGGATGGGGAGGAAGAGGAGCAGGGGCTACCGGGGGAGCGGGGACCAGGAACAGGGGCGGGGTAACCGGTAGACCTCGGTGGGGAAAGCGGGTGTAGAAAGAGTCAGACTCGTCAAAGTTGATGTCGCGGGAGTGAAAGAAACGGTGACACGGTGGGTGCTAAAAGTGCCAGTCAGACGTGTCGAGGGGGGAACCAATGAAGACACAAGGGATGATGCAGTCAGTGAGCTTGTCCGTGCCAGAGCCACAAGCGTGAGCAAGGCAGCCCCAGATATGGAACGCAGATGCGTTACCAGGGAACCTGATCCAGAGAAGGGCCGGCAAAACCTGTGGCCGCTGGGAGTGTGGCCACAGGTTAAGCTGGTGAGTGGCGTAGCGAATAGCGAACGGCCACAGAAATTGGGGTGCACCAGCATGGATCATGGAGGTACGAGCGACCTCCATGACCAAACCGATGCGTCAGGGAGCGATGCAGGGAGACAAGCCCGTGATGGGACATGTGACGCAGACGTAGGAGAGCGGGGTGACCTAGGTGGTGGTGCCACAGCAGTGAAGGATGGGTGAGTGATCGACACGAGAAGGCTGCAGCTACCAGAGAGGATGCAGCGACGTGGGGTGACGCTCCAACCAGAGGGGGACGCAGTGTCTAGCGTGAACAGGATAGACACGGGGTCCCGGGGAAACATGGTAAGATGGGCACCAGTGGCGGCCTCAGTACAGACGGTGTACCGCTCGTCTCCACGGAAAGTAGTGGTGTCGCCAAGTTGCTGAAGATAGCCGACACCAACTAGGTTCCTGGAGAACGAGGGGATGTGCAACCCTGTAGGAGATTCCGAGGGGACCGCCGGACAGGGAAGGGTAGTAGAGCTACGTGCAAATATGGGATCTGAGGAGGGATCAGCTAGCGCTACAGCAGCAAGGGCAGCAAGCTGCGTGAGCGAAGCGTGGTCGCGGAAGAAGCAGGCAGACGCTCCAGAGTCAAGCGTGAAAGAGAGCGAGGCAGTAGCGTTTGCAGTAGCGGCGGCTAGCGGGGGGGTTAGCGTAGAGCCTAAGCTAAACCAGGCAGGAGGTCCTACGCCTGACACAGAAGGGGAACCTAGACTACACACAGGAGGCACACCCACTCTAGGCAACACAGGGTATAAAGATATGGTCACACTAGAGTCATCAGTATAGATGACATACATAGCAGTCCTAATTTGATCCATATCAAACTCAAACATAGGCACACGGCGGCGGGCCAGGGCGTACCAATCAGGAGGGTTCGATATGGGACCAAAGCGGAGACAGTAGAGGTCGTCGGGGCAGCAGTAGCAGTGGACGGCGGTGTGACCTTGACGGTCGGAGACGGTGCCGCGGCGGGGCCGGTCTGAAGCTAGTACTGGCAGGTGGCCACACTAGAGCAGCCACCCGACACCAAGCCGCACAGGGCACCACCATGACCACCACCACCAGCGCCAACAGGCCACCACGGCGGCTGCTGCTGCTGCGTCTGCTGCTTGTGCTACTGAGGCTGCTGCTGCTGCTGCTGCTGCTCAGACTGCTATTGCTGCTGCTGCTCCGGGGCACAGGGCCAGCAGTCGCAGGGTCTGCGGGCGCGGGACTGGCGAGTGCGGGGCCGGCAAATGCGGGGCCAGCAGGCACGGGGCCAGGGAGCGCAAGGCTGGCAAATGCGGGGCCAGTGGGCGCAAGGCAGGCGGGCTGGCGGCTACGGGCGGTGACAGGCGGCCAGCGGACTACGAGCAGCTGGCGGCTACGGGCGGCAGCGACGGGCGGCGAGAAGCTGGCGGCTAAGGGCGGCCAGTGGGCTGGAGGCTACGGTCCGCTGGCGGCTACGGGCGGCCAGCGGGCTACGGGCGACGGGTGACGGGCAGCTAGGAGCGGCGGCTAGTGACTGTCGACTAGGAACGGGCGGCTAGCGACGGGCGGCTCGGGCTAGGGCTAGGACTAGGGCAGAAGCGTGGGTGGGCGGGATCCTAACCTAGCGTGATACCATCTCAGAGTAGAAAGGTTGACTAGAATGATGAGGTACAAGGGAATATGACCTAAGGTGTTGTACTCTTTATGAGCATGCACCTATCTAGCCTATAACATATACAAAATATATGTTGACAAGATTTTCCCCCACCCGTCCAATCTTGTTAGGATCGAACGGCAAAATCTGATTCGCCGAGGCTTCTTGAAGCAAAAATCGCCGTAAAAAGTGGCCTCAGAATCATCATGGTTGCCTCCTCGTTTGTGGGAAGGGAACCCAGCCTCCTCCCCCCCCCTCCCCCAGCCCCCGCCCTCCCCGGATTTCTTTTCGCCCATCTCCCAACTTCGCAGAATCAGTGTGAAATTCTGAAGTAACCCTGATTACTCAGCGGATTTTTTTTTTGTGGCACCCTGAAAAATCAGGCTAAACATGTGGGTGGACTCTGAGCTATCAGGGTACCTCAAAAGCAATCTGAGGCCCTGCTCGCTACTGCTGTCGCCATCACACACGTCCTTCCATGTGAGGATCGCACTACTAGTACAGTCCAACTGTTATTAGGAATGCATAAGTGGTAACTCTGTTGAGTATACTTCAACATAAACGAGAACACAACGCAGCATATGAGTCATACATCTCATGCGAACCACCGGCACTCACCGGCTTCACAACAATCATGCCAGAGCTGTCTTCAGAAATCACCAACCGTCCCTCCCCACCTGCTGTGGTAGATGGCACAAAACTCCGTTCCACCATCTCACCCATGCTCTCTTGCCCAGCATGTGAGAAACTCATAGGACCCTGATTTCGAGGCTCCTCCAGATCTGAGGAAAGCAGAAGGGGGCTAGGGGGGGCTTGTGGCCGGAAATCAAGGACCTGAACAGGCTTGGGGGATAAAACGCCCCCCTCAACTTCTCCGAGGCGATTCCGGGCCTGCACATGCTGAACCTGCCAGCAGTTGCTTAATAACGAGGATCTCTGCACTGAAAATTGCCCTTGTAGGTAGCCCCACAGCGTGGCTGGCATTGTTCCCGGCACTGATTGGCTCTTTCTAGCAGGGTTCTCCAGGCGCAGAGTGAGATTCCCACTGGAGGATGGAGCACCGGAGGCATCGTTGTGCAATTCCCTTGAGGTTGGATGTGCAGAGAGAAGCATGGGAGATTTTGAGTCACACTGCAGATCTGGAGGGGATAGTGCGAGCATGGGTGGCAGCGACGAGAAGGCAAGAGGTGCTGCTTCCGGTGTTTGCGGTGCCAGTACTCGTGCGGCTGTTGGTGATGCCTGAGCTGCTGCTGCTGCTGCTGCTGCTGCAGCTGGACCATTCACCTCTGGCAGTGGCAATATGTTGTCTGAAAATAGCTTCCCAATCGACCCCTTTCCTAGCGCAACCTTGCCCATTGCTTCCCCTCTAGCCCCATCATCAACCATCACATTGCAATGCCGAATTGCTGCCTCTTGCTGCGTATCAGAATTGCTTGCTGCGAATCCAGCACCGGATTGACCCTTCCCGCTCTGCTGCACACCACAGCTCAACTCAGCTGCCTCCACACACACAAATGGCCATGATTCGCCACTCCCTTCAGCCGTACTACCTACGAGGAACGCCCGCTGCTTTTCTCCTCGTGCCAAGCCTCCAGAGGAAGGCTCGGATGCCCTTGCGTCCTCTGCTTGTGCGGCACACTTTGTTGCCTCAGCAACTTGTACTGATGCTCCCTGCCCGTGGTTGTGTGTGCGGACCGCTTCACACTGGAAAGAGGTAGGGCGCTCTTTTGCAGCGTCCGTGGCAGCAGATCCGACCTGATTCATTGTGGCATCTTGAGCCGATGCTCCCAGCCCGTGGTTGTGGGTGCCAACCGCCTCGCAGGTGAGGGTGGGTGGGTCTGTCTCGATGTGCAAGTTGACGATGCGCAAAGCCTGGCAGTCGCACTGAGCGCGGAGTGAGCAGCGGAAGTAGAGTCTGGAGAAAGAGAAGGCAAGGTGAATCACGGGAAAAAAGGAGGGAGGAGGGAGGGGTTGGATAGAGAGGGTTGGTTGGATGGACATGGTAGCCGCGCTGGGCACGGCAGGAGCAACAGAAGCAGAGCCTGGAGAAAAATGGGGTGAATCACATCAATAAGAGGAAGATACAGAGAATTCAGATTTGGTTCTGGTTGTTGTTGTTGAGTTCCTCTCCCTCCCTCCCTCCCTCCCTCCCTCCCTCCCTCCCTCCCTCCCTCCCTCCCTCCCTCCCTCCCTCCCTCCGCAGCATTACCTGACTTGCGTCCCTCCGGTCAGCACCTTCTGCCCGTAGCGCAGCCACCTGTAGCCGTCATGTGGCAGCAGGTGCTGGTAGGGAGGCAGGTACCTATGGCGCTTCCTCTTGGCGCGCCTGGGAGAGCAGCAGGAGATGGATAGAACAGCAGAAGCATGTAGAGTGGGCGAGGGAAGGAAGGGCATGAGGGCAATGCAGCCATGTGTAGCCGTGATCGGGCAGCTTCCTCTTGGCGCGCCTAGGAGAGCAGCAGGAGATGGATGGATCGGAAGAGGCATATGGAGTGGTGAGACCCCTGCAGCCGCTTCCTCTTGGCGCTCCTGGGAGACAATTGGAGCAGCAGAGCAGGGAGCACGGGTGAGGAGAAGAGAGTGAGGCAATGCATCGCCACCTGTAGCCGTAAGTTGGCAACAATGCGCTGTTACGGGGCAGCCACCTCTGTCCTCTTGCTGCGTGTGGGAGACAACGGGGGCAGCAGAGCAGAGGGGAGGGGGTGAGGGGTAGAGAACAGGGCATGATGAAAATGCAGCCACCTTGCCGTCACCTGATAGCAGGTGCTGGTACGGGGGCAGGTACCTCTGGCGCTACAGCCATTGTTCAAGGTTTAAGCGGGGGAGATTCCCCTCAGGTCTCACTCTCTCTAAATGCTTTCACATTATTGAGTGTTCAGGAAAGGCTACCTAGCAGCAATCCCTCGCTGCATAGACTCACTTCGCCACATCCATCCTGACGTAACCCGGAGAAATCTCCACTAGTATGGCGTAGCTGCCGGGATGCGAAGGATCCTGAGGGATCCCCACTGAAGGAGCTGAGTGCGAAGGCAATGCCAGCGTAGCATCCGCAATCTGGGTGACCCAACCAGGTGCCGCGGAATCCGCAGGCGGCATCGCGCCCCAAGGGGCCGTTGCAGACGCTGGCTCGGACTCAGGCCGAGCCAGCAGCGGAACCAGGGTCACTGGCCCTGGTTTGGACCCAGGCCGCGGCAGCACTGACGTGGCAAAACTCATGCGGGCCGGTCAGTAGTGAATCTACAACAACTAGAACAACAACTAAAACAACTAGAAGTAGTGAAATGAGAACAAGAACCAGACTAGACCCAGAGCTACGGCCACAAGGAAACTGTCGACCAGATTAGACTCTTATTTCTGACTCGGAGTCACTCCCAAGTTTGGGGGTCAGCTGTTTGATACTGGCTATAGTGCATTACTGGCCTCTGGTCAAGGTTCTAGTCTTGTCAAGTGGGGCGCTCAGAGCACTGGACCTCTCTGGATGTTGGCCACTTGACTAGACTAGACGCTTGACTAAAGGTTAGGACTTCACCCTATCTCTGAGACGCAGTTCCCCCACATAGGATTCTGCCAGAAGAGTCGTTTCGTCTCACAAACGTCAATTGGGCTTTGAGACGCTCCACTTGAGGCGTAAGGAGTCGCTCTAACACTAGCTCTCTCATGAATAAAACTTGAAATAGCGCAAGGTCTTCTTACAGGATGCCCGACATTAGAACACCCTGCATCCCAAAATTCCAGGATCAGAAATACGGAGTAGGTATACAGTAGGTATGGCATAGGTACGTCTGCTACGGAGTAGCCTTGCTATACGAACAACTATACCTACAATATAGGAGAGATCCACATTTTTGTGATGTGTTTGCGACCATAGCATGGATTGGGACGGGAAGGCAGAGGGGGACTGATTGGGACTGAATCGGGCAGGGCATTTCGTAGATATCCTCAGTGCAGCTGATGCCCGGCGTAGGAACACCCTGTTTGGCGAGTCGCCTGGAATTAATCTGGAAGGACCCATGGGTCAGGAGGGAACCAGTTGGGACTGAGTCGGGCAAAGTACTTAGCGGACATCCTGGTGTAATTTAGTGGTACCACTGTTAGGACCCGACTGTGCCATTGGCTAGGGCATCCGGGCATTACAGTTGTCACGCCCTGGCGTCAAGCATGCATCAAAACTGAGGGATCGGTTTGCATGGGGGAACGAGGAAACTGGCCAACTAGATGAGACGCAGCATTGAGTGAACAGAAAACACGACCGACTTTTCCTGTCGGACTGACTGACTGATTCAGTCAGTGTAACTGACAAAACCCCTGGCCTGTGTGCGGCACGAGTGTACGCCCGCGCAAACCGCGAGACTCAACTTCGAATATGTTCGCGGCAAACCCCTAGTACAGTTTCCTGTGAGTGAGCGACCAACATCTCGGGAGAGGGAGTGTCTGCTGTCTGTACAGCAGTGGCCATGCTTGATACAAACGCAGATCCGCCCTTCGCATCACACCACAAGTGGTGCCACTGCTGTGCAGGATGCATTCGATTTGAGGATGTTGCTCATTACAGGCTGGCATATGTCACCTTCTACCCACGTCAGCATATGCATGTTCGTCTTACCGTTAGCTGTAACACAAGGTTGATTACACTTAGCCCGCTCTAATTTCAAACCTAACGTCACAAAAATGTGGATCTCACCTATCATCGCGGAAAGGTAAACTGCAAAATGTCACGGAAATGTGACATTTCCGTGACTTTTCAGATGCGGATGCGGGGTAGCTTTCAGGTGAAGGTTAAAAGTCCCTTTCAGTATGTGACGTGATGAGTGACAAAAAAAAATACGTTTCAGATGCAAAAGCGTAGCTTTTGCATTCCTATAATGTGACGATAAAGTGAGGTTAGTTCGTCACGTGGTAGCAGTTCCCTCAATATTATAGGAGCCTCTCTAAAACGAACAAGTGGGCCACTAAAATTTAATTGGGTCGTGTAGACAAATTGAATTGGGTCATGTACGAAGGCCTCAGACGATTGGCCACCGACCTAAAATGCCAGTCGTCTCTTATTGGCTAAGATCTTACGCAGCGCGAAGTCTGAGAATATATCGAGACCATTCAATCAGCCTAAAAAAACCGCAGCACTTGCGTATTATTGATACACTGATACGATTGGATCATTACATTCAACTATATTATTTTTACACAACTCATTTTCACATGAAATAAAGTTAATCTAATTAAATAGACTTTCATCTAAATCCTGAATATCTGCTAGCTATAAGCAATATGAATACGAGCAATATAACAAGGAATTTTAACAATGGTTTGCGGACTCGGGAAATACAATATCCAGATTCTGCACAAGCAAAAACGATAGTGAACGCCACCAAACAGTTGGTAAAATGCATTGCAACAACTGATGCATACCTTTGTACTTGCTGCTAAGCCGTTCAGGAATGCACGACTTGAATGGTTAGTCGTTTTCAAAATTTGCACTACACTAAGCGGATAGGGAGAGATCTATAAATGACGGATCCATACCAGCCAGCGACTTAAGCGTTCCGTTGTTAAGCTTTTGCTATAGCACACACTGTAGCTGTGAACATCGAGCACGAGAGAAACCCGTTTGCCAAGTTCTGCATGAACTCAAAAAGGGCACAGCAACGAAACACAATAGAAATGGCAAAAACATGGGGAGGGGAAAGAAAAGAATTTAGCAAAGTAGCGGAAGATATTAACAGCAAAATATCAAAACATATCACAAGGGAAAAAAAAAAACAAAAAACAAAAACAGCATGGTTACGACGAGCAAATAGCGATAGACTGTACGATAAAAGAATGACAGGTTCTACGCCCATATACGAGAGAGAAGAAACGAAGGCCAAGGGCAAAATGAGGACGCTGTCAACCGAAGAGCATGAGATACAGAGATGGAGCGAAACAAAACTCGAATAGGGTACGATTAGTTAGTACCGTCCTGCTGGATCGGATGATGACTGAGTTGCCACGTATGTCAGAAAATTGAGCGACATTAACATGCTCAGTATGCTCATATTCGTATCGCTTACATTTTCGTATAGGTCAGTTTCTTTGTCGAAGTTTTCGTGAAATTCATTCGACGATTATTTGATGTTATCCATTTGTATAACTCGCTAGGTAGTGACGTGTGTTGGTGATATTATAGGTAGGCTCGAGATTTGTACGAGAGCTTTCGAAAGTTACAATTCGTCCTGGTCGTCGCTATTCTCGCTAAGCACTTCGCGAACTGCCAATAATTTTTATAGTTATTCAGCCAACATTCTTGGAACAGAACTCCGAGAATGTTAGTAAAAACAGCGTCAAAACGCTTTTGACCGTGCGAACACATTTGAAAAGAAGGTACATGAGGCATTTCACCGAGCTCTAGCTGGCAATTGCAAGATACAACGCTTTTCTAAAAACCAATTAGAACATGACACATGTCTACGGTAACTTTAATGCAATCGAAATGCATATTTTCGTCACATCTGCGTTCGTCACAAAAATGTGACTTTTCCTTCGAGCTTTTCCTCAGCTTTTCTGAAGGAAAAGCTACCGTGCTGAATTTTGCTGCAAAAACTTATCCACGATGATATTGTAGATATAGTTGTTCGTATAGCAAGGCTACTCCGTAGCAGACGTACCTATGCTGTATATACTATATAGCTACTCCGTATTTTTGGCTTTGGTATTTTGGGACATATTTTCACCCGCCGTTTTGCCGAAGGGCTGTCACCCCCCGACAGCATGACCAGTTAGGCGGGTCTCGCAACCCCTGGAAAAAACGACATGCTTGGATTTCTAGACTACCATTGTTAACTGCATCACTTTTCCCACCTCTTAGTGTTTTCTCAAAAATCATCAGTCATCTACTTGTTTACCCGAGCCTTCCGTGTCAAGACTGCGAGCCGCTGGCTCGAGCCCACCGTGTGCATGGGAATGCTCCTTGCGGACCCAGAAAAGGTCATTTACTGCCGAAACATTTACTGCCACCCATTTTCAGGGTCTAGAATTACAGCGGGCCAGGTGTAAGACTGATGTCCACAATATGCCGAGCCCGATTCAGTCCCAACCCATCCCGCCCTGCCGCATATTTCCATCCAGATTCGCAAAAAGAGTGATACAATGCCGGGCATTCTGTGTAGCAGTGTTGAGTAATGGCATTATCGCAGACGCCACGACGACAGCAGCCCGCCATGAACAGTAGTAGTTGCTTGAGTTTCGGAGCTTCTGCCGCCCAATCTAGAGATTGTATTTTCCATGCACCCCACCCCCTGACCTAGACTTGCCCAAAAAATAAGTGCGTTCCTGAGGTGGTGGAATTGAGGGGAGTCATTCAGATACTCCGCCTTTCAAATAAACCGACCCCCATTTGCCACAGCGTGGAATCCCCGTTTCGTGCTACGCAACTTGCAAAGCAGTCCTACAACAGACTTGTTAAGCCTGGAGCAAACTGGCGATTTGGTTAGGAAATACACTGCGAGAGTCACGAAGAAACAAAAAGCCTCTACTGGAACCTTCAAGCCTACCAACTTGGTAGAGGAGGGGGGTGGAGATTCAGCAGCTGAAGTTAACATGCAGGGTGTTTAGTCCGGCGTGCAGAAAATAGGGCTGGGGGAGCGATGTGCAGCGGAAACTGCAAAGCCGAGTCTATTCAGCGATTCTGCAAACCGAAGTTTGGACAAGGTAGGAACTTTTCCCTTCTCTTGGGATGCCAGTCTAAATAGCGGAATACTCGTGTAATTAAAATCGAATCATCTTACAGTCTCGCTAAACACACTGTTACAGTGCACGTTTAGGTGGAGACCTGAGCCTCGGCAAAGAGTAGACTGAAAAAAACCAACCTAGGGTCTACTGTTTTCAGGGTAAATAGGTACACAGATCGAGAAACGAACTTTCTTGTCCAAACTTCTGAAGGTGATCTTATGTTCCAGTTCAGGTTCAGGGGGACCATGCTTGGACGGACTAGGGGGAGCAGAGGACCACGGTCAAGGACTTGGACAAGCAGGCAGTACTGTACCAGTGTTGACGCGGCAGAAGCAAATCACACCAGCATTTCGTCGAGTTGTGACGTGGACGTTCAAGCTCCGAAGCGCCTGGCTGCCCAGAAAATGACAAATCTACACCCGAATCAAGCCAAAATGAATGCACCAAAATTATTGAAGCCAATGAATGGCGAAATTCTAGCGCAAATGTCGCCAGCTGTTCTATACACCGAAACTTGTTTTCAAGCTTACTTTCGCTCAGAGTTGAGCAGATAACTTTCACGCCCGAATTGGGCCAATACAAGTTATATTTCGTAGGCGCAAACTCCACGGTTCTTCCGAAATTGCACTTACGGCGTGTGGCAAGTAGAGTCCCGATAGTTTCCGCTCCGCTCCTCCCGTCGCTCCGCTCCCGAATTCCCGAAGCATGGGACGGGAGTTTTGTTCGTTTTGCTGCTGCAGTGGTCACTTGCCACACGGACATAAGTGTACTCGCTGCCCGGAACGGAATTAACCCAACATACAACCCCAAGAAAACTGCATTTGGCAAACAGAAAATTTGCGACAATTGGAAAATCCGCAAACCCAGCAACCATCG